GTACCCCCTCTGGTCGCGCCCGCGAAGTGGTGCCCGGGGGCGGGGTGCGGACGCTGCGCGCCTGCTTCTGCTTTCTGGGCTTCTGAAGGCTTGATGGCCTGGAGGAGAGGGCGGTGAGATAGTTGGGAAGCGCTCGCCGCGCTCAAGGCCTCCTTTGTCTGACCCTCCGCCTTGGGGGGCCCAGGTCGCTTTCGCAGACGGTGCTGGAGTTGGCACGGAGCTTCCTAACCTTGGCTCTTCACGTTCCACTCCGCCAGCTGGCACCCCCTTCAGACAGGTTTGCCGGCGTCCTGACCTAATTTCACGTTCATGGAACAGCCCCTGCCTGCACCCCGGGCCTTCTGGGCCGCTTCCAGGGGAAGGAAGGCAGCCGGGCAACCTAGCTCCGGCTTGGCGCCCACCTGGAGCCCGCGCGCTCAGCCCTTCCAGGTAGGGCCTTCCAAAGGTGATGCAACACCACTGTGAATAAACAAGAATAGCATCTTTTATTGGAGACTCCATTGACTACAGTTAAGAGGATCAACAGTATACTGTCCACTACGCTTCATAGAATCCTCTTTTAATTAACGCTGTTCTTCCCTTCAAAGTTGTTTGGACAGCAGTGACCTCATCTTGCTTCTCTAGGATCTAGGTTGCCAGCCACCACACCTGTCCCCACCCTTCTCCCTGCCCCATCAAGTTTCTCCATGTTCGCACCAGGTACCACCACCCCTCTTCCTGATATAGAACTAGCCACATGTCCAAGGGACAGTGTCATGTTGTTCTTGTCACTTGTTACTTGCTTAGGAGTGTGTCTTCGTTTACTGACCTGTACCTTCTAGGTCACTGCTGCATGCACACTTCTTTGTATAGGTAACTGTTTATGTGAAAATACTTGTTCCATGTCAATAGGAGGTATTCTGTTTTGAATTCTTTGTGTGCCAGGGTTACTTGTTTGCCTTACTTTTGATCCAGTGCATAGTCTATATGGGTGGATGTTCATGTGTATTTGAAAAAAACTATGTATTCGGTGGTTGTTGGTTGAAATGTTTTATAAATGTCAATTAGGTCAACTTGGTTGAAATACCTGTACTGATTTTCTACTTGTTTTAAGAGAGTAGTGTGGAAATTTCCAATTATAATTGTGGATTTGTCAATTTCTCCTTTCAGTTGTCAGTTTTTTCATGCTTCTGAAGCTCTTATTAGAGGCATAAACATTTAGGATTATTATGTCTTCTTGATGAATTGATCCTTTTATCACTATGAAATGTCATCCTTGATTGCTGATAATATTCCAGGTTCAAAAGTTTACTTTAGGAGCCTTGGTGGTGCAGTGGTTAAGAGCTTGGCTGCTAATTGAAAGGTCGGCAGTTCAAATCCACTAGCTGCTCCTTGTAAACCCTATGGGGAAGTTCTACTCTGTCTTATAGGGTCTCTGAGTCAGAATCCACTTGAAGGCAATGGGTTTTTTTAGTCTACTTTGATGTTAATAATATAACCATTCCATCTTTCTTATGAATAGTGTTTACATTTTATCCTTTTATTTTTAATTTAGCTATTTCTACTTAGGTCCCCGGGTGGCACAAGTGGTTTGTGTCCATCTATTAACCTAAAGGCAGTGGCATCTTGGAAGAAAGGCTTGGGCGATCTGTTTTCATGAAGATTACAGCCAAGAAAACCCTATGGAGCAGTTCTACTCTGTAACACATGGAGTCGCCATGAGTTAGAATTGACTAGATGGCAATGGGTTTGGTTTGGTTTTTATGTCTACTTACAGTGACAACATATAATTTGGTGTGGCTTTTTTTTTTTGTTTTATCCAGTCTGACAGTTCTGCCTTTTCACTGGAGAGTTTAGACCATTTACATTTAATGTGACTATAGATATGCTGGAGTTTAAGTTTACCATCTTGCTATTTGTTTTCAGTTTATTTAATCTTTGTACCTTTTTTCTTACCTTCTTTTGGATTATTTGCATTTTTGTTTTTTAGGATTTTATTTTCTCTTACTGTTAGTTTCTTTTATATATCTCCTTATTTTATTATTTTAGTGTCAGCTCTGGGTTTACAATATACATCTTTAATTATCACAGTTTACCTTCAGTTACAATTCTGCCACTTCATGTATAATATAAGAACCTTACTTACAGAATACTTCCATTTCCCCTTTCCTTTCTTTGTGCTATGGTAGTCATACTACTTGCCTTGCTTTTTCATGCCCTGCTGTGCAGCCTGATTGGTGTACTGCCCAGTGTTTTGTTTGTGTGTGTGTGTGTGTGTGTGTGTGTGTGTGTGTGTGTGTGCTTTCTGGAAAGTAATCTGGTAAATTGATTATAAAAATTAAGAATGCAAATATTCTTTGAAGAAACAATTCCATATCTTGGAATTTAACATATCAATAAATAGAGAAGTACAAGGATGTTTATTGTAGCATTTTTGTAAAACTGCAAAAAGGAAAAACAATGTGAATGTGAATCTAGGAATGGTAGAAAAAATTATGGTCCATCATATTATAGAGGAGAAACACAAAGGCAAACAATGCAGCTATTTAAGAAAATTTAGTAGATCTGGAAAGATAGCTATGATATATTAACTAAAAGAAGCAAGTTATAGAACAATATCACCCATGTTTGTAAACAACAATCATAAATGTGATTTTATTTATATAAGCAAAGGAAATTTCTGGAAAGAATTATAATAGCAAACAGTAATAGCATACTCCCAGTTATGAACCATTTTAGTCCTCACAACAGCCCTGTGAGAAGTACTACCATTGGTTATATTTTATAAGTGAGAAAACTGAGAAACAGGTTAATAACTTGCCTAGGGTCCCTTGCCAAAAGTGACAGTCCTGGGATTCAAACCCTGGCTGTCTGGATCTGGAGTCTGAACTCCTGCCTCACCAAACACATTCTTAACTTCAGGTGAATTGCAGAAGGAGAAACTAATTTTATGTTTGAAGTTTCTATATTACTTACATTAAGGAGAAGGTACTCTTTGCATTTTAAATGACAGTTGTATAAATTTGGTGTGTACAGTTAAAACTGTAAATGAAGTAAGTACAGGGATGGTCACAAGTACATATTAAAAAATATTTAGTTATCTGGCCTATTGTTATCGCGAATGTGGAGACAGGCTTTCTGGAAAAAGCAGTGGTTGTGAAAACTGGATGAGATTATGATTTTGTTACAGGAACTGACTTGTGGGAGAGGGTACTTTCACTGTGACACTTCATGAGAAATATCAAGGCTTATTCCTGGCACATTTCCAACATGACCCCTTCTATTTTCAAAAAAGATTAGGGGACGTAAAACTTCTGCTTGGAAAGCCCCAGAGGTGAGTGAGCTGGGTTTGGAAGCGCTTTGAACAGTAAAATGCCCACCTTAACACATCGGTTGTTCTAAATTTATTTTTTACTTTTTAAGAATTACTTTTTAAAGATTCTGTTTGTATACTTACAGAACTATCACTCAAATAATTCAAATATTTTATAAATATAAATGTAGACTCCTACTTGTTAATGACAAAATCCATTAAAATTGACTTGAGGATGTCATCTTTCCTATATAAATAGCATTATTAATGACAAATATGGAAGACATCTAAAATACTGTTCTTCTTTCTCTGTTAAGTGAGGAAAGCACACATTATAACTAAAGTGGTTGCTACTCATTTACAACAACTAGTTTAAATGTTATTTATGATTTTAAAAAAACCTACCTTTATGACCATATGTACAATTAAATTTTGGTTATATGTAATAAATTTAAAAATACATTTTAAACAATAGATGCATTAATACTTATTAAAGTAAATGTTTCCAATTAAAAAAAAAAGCGATCTAATAATGAATTTTCTTTGTACTGGAGAAAAACAAAGCACATTATGCATATACAGCAATCATAGGTTGATATGAAAACTCTTTTTATATGGATAGTGTGCACCTCACCCTGGAAATCCCCACTTCTCCTCACTTCTGCATGAACTCTTTAGTTTTCAGAATCAGAAAGGTAAAACAAAAATTTGGCTATCATTTTTGTTTCTGGTGGATGGCTTGTAAATATTATGTTACACTTTAACAGGTTTTTACTTAGGCACCGGAAAACATAGGCACAATCTTAATGAAATGCTTATAAATGTGAACAAGAATAAGAATTAATCAATTTATGTGATTTTTTTTTTACATAGTGATATAAAAATACTTGCTGTTACTGGGCACAGAGCTAAAGAGAATACATAAAAAGACTTAAGTTATTAACTAAACATAAGACTTTAAGATCTCCCTTT